AAAAATCATAAAAGGCTGGGTTGGCACATGATTATAATGGAGAAAGTGGGAAATCTAACTGATTGCATCACAATGTGTCTGGAGATTGATGTGAACAGGAAGGGTCCAGTCAGTCATGAAAACAAAGACAAATGGAGACCAAAGGCAGTGGTGCAGTGCTCTTGGAAGCATTATCGAGGCGTAGTTGACTTGAACACATGGTTCCCTTGGCAGATCTTTCCCTTGGCAGATCTTTCCCTTTGGTGCATGAAGGGGCCTCAAGTGATACCTGCCAGACCCTTGGTAAGAACAACAAACTCCTCTTGTTGATTCCTTGCCCTCCTGGCAACCACTGGATAAACCTGGCTTCCGGTGGAACCCGGCTTCTAAGGAATTAGGCCCATAGCGGACAAAATGACCGGGGCAGGCAGACCTCTGTGTTCCAGACTGGCTGACATCTGAGTTCTTGTTGCGATGAGTAAGCTGGCTGCCTGCTACCTGATTAAGCCTCTGTGACTCAGCAAAGGCGAGCCTGCATCATAGTCACAGGGACATCTTCGAGGACAGGTTTCTGAGTCCCTGAGACTGAGCTCCCACTGAGGAGCATTCACTAGGGAAACGCCTATGGGAATCTTAGCAATGCCATCATTCCTCACTTGTACAAACACTGAAGAGCCCTCCAGATAAATGCATGGTAGATCAGTAATATCTTCTGGTGATTTGAACAATTTCTCTTAAAAGAACTGGAACCTGAGATTTACATTTTTTTTAAGACAGGGTCTCACTCTGTTGCCCAGGCTGAAGTGCACTGGCATGATCACAGCTCACTGCAGCCTCAAACTCCTGGGCCCAAGCGATCCCCCGAACTCAGCCTCCTGAATAGCTGGGACCCCAGGCATGTACCACCATGTCCAGCTAATTTTTCTTATTTTTGTAGAGGTGGGGTCTTGCTATGTTGCCCAGGTTGGTCTCAAACTCCTGGGCTCAAGCGATCTTCCCACCTTGGCCTCCTAAAGCGCTGGGATTACAGGCATGAACCACCACACCCGGCCACTTTCTTAAATAACACTATCTTTCAAAGTACCTATTCTAATTTTGTTCTTTTGTTAACGACAGTGAGCAGTTGTTTCTGCTGTTTTTGAGAGTCTAAGTTCCTCGTTAGCCTTCTGTAACAATGACACAGCACACACATTGCTTCATTAGAGCTCTCAGAATATTTAATCTTTCCGTTCTGGTATTCAATTTTACTGTCAAGGCCCAAAATAAACAGACAGCCATTGAATCTAGGTTCTCTTATAAATAGCTTACATAATTGCTCTAAAATATGCACCAAGAGATCAACAGATGCTCTTCTGGAATATCTTGAGGAAAAACCCCAAAGCATTTGTTACCCTGGTGAGGGAGAATCCACTAAGCACTCTCCGAAAGAAAGATGGCCAGGAATTCCAAAAGGCTTTGTAGTAACTACCTGAATTCACACCCTAGCAGAAAATATGTCAGCCTCATCAGAATGCTCTGGTGATGCCTACGGAGTCAAGAGGCCTGCTGTTGAATAAATGCCATTTGCTTCTGTCTACCCTAATCATCACAGATCGTCCTCTTTTCTGGGTGAATGACTGTAACCCCAGTCACTGGCAAGACAAGATGACATCTGCTGAAACCAGTGGCAGAATGTTTCAGACTCTGTCATTCACATAGTGCCTTCATGTTAATGATTCTAATCATCTTTACACTCTCAACTCAGCAAATGACAGCCCTAGCTCCAGTCACATTGTCACCAACTCACCAATACTCTGGGTGCAGCAATAAAGGCTGGTATAACAACCAATGTGAAGATGGTTGACTGGTTTTTATAGACCAGAGGAGATGGAAAAGGATGTTATACTTTGAATTTTCTAGAAGTTAAATGTTACGTCGTACAATCACTTTTCAGCTATAGGTATTACTTTGTCTAACAGGCATGACTATTGGGTTTTCTGCTTCATAGGGACAAGGTTAAAAGACCTATCAAAGAGATGGTGGCTGCTTGTCGGGGATTGGAGAGATGCCCATGGGGCCCCAGAGAGCATGCATGTCCCAAAGAGCATGCCATGCCCAGTCCACTCATCACTGACAACTTCACTCTCCCGGTGGAAGTGCTTCCCTTAATAGCTTATGTAACACAGAGCTTCTAGAAAAGTATACTATGGAGTAGCTCTCACTTGAGTGAATTTACTGCCCCCCCACCGCAAAACATGACTGGGAATTAGAAGGCATGCTTTACCCATTTGTTAAAAGAATGATCTAGATTTTACCCTAGTCTTCAAAACCCTATAGCCCATCACCACAAAAACGATAACAATGTGAGGTAATGCATATGGTAATTAGCTAGATTCAGTCATTCCACAATGTATATATACTTCAAAGCATCATGTTGTACACATTAAACACAATTTTATCTGTCAATTAAAAAAATATGTTGCTTCAATCAGAACTAATAAGGTGGCAAATGTCTGGTAGGATGGTATGCTTGCTAAGATTTCTTGGTCGAAGGGAGAGGAGTCACCATGAAGGTCTTGGCACCCAAGTGCTTCAGGATGTGCCTAGCTTTTACCAGCCTCACAAAGATAGGGGAGAAGCGGGGTACAGGCAGACTGGACAGCCCCCTTGCCTCCACTCACTTGGAGAGGCCTATATCAGGTGTCCTTTCAGAAGAGTCTGGCAGGTCTCCATGGCCCTAAACGCCAGACCTAACTGCTTAACTCTAAGCTCACAAGGACAGTACCCATGAGCATGCTTCACTTTCAATCAACCAGCACAGTGGCCAGCCCAGAGAAAGGACTCAATAAATACTGAATGAGTGAATGAAAATAAAACATTTGCCAGGCAGTAGATCCAGAAAAAAAAAAAAAAAAAAAAAAAAAAAAAAGACAAATAAATAACAAAGATTATGCCATTCTGTGCTCACATGTCTCTACCAATACATTTTCTAAGTTGCTAGATTTATTTTTAATGGCTATTTATCAAGGTTTTTAGACGCATTTGGATTCCCAGGGAAGCTCGCCAAGATACCAAGATAACTGTGTTGATTTGATCAGCTGGAGCAAAAAGAACCAGAGTCAGCCTTCTATCATTACTTCACAGTTTTAGCTAGAGCCTTCCTACCCTCGTGGTAAACAGCAATTATAAAGACTGGAACAGTTAATCTGTGTGAGGCATTTACCAACTACTAGGCACCATGTTTAAGAATTTATGTGCATCATCCCAGTAAATCTTCTCTCAACACGTTGACAAGGTAGGTACAATTATTCTCATGATTTTATGGATGAGAATGCAGAGGCTTGGAGACATTCAGTGACTCGGGTTTGGCTACAGAACAAGTAAGTGACAGAGCCAGGATTCAAACCCAGATCTATCTGATGCCACAGCCTAGGGTCACAACCACTGTACTCTTTGTAATGTTTGCCATCCTCATTCCTGCGTCCTACTATTTCAAAACATTTCCTATGCAGTCACTACTAAGTGTTTAGTATCTGTTCTTCTCAGTGACTGATTTTGTCAAATGAAAATCCTCTATTGCTACAGTCATCAATAAAAACATTTCAAGTGATTTTGCTTGGTGAAAATTTTCCTTATTGAATGATGAGCTCTTCTCTGTTGTGTGAATTTATTTCCCTCCTAAAATATGGGGGACGGGGGAGGAAACCAGAAGGTGGGTTGTCATCACTTAGAGAGATACCTGCTTCTATACCAGTGATTCCTATACTGTAATATGCAAACAAATCATCAGAGAACACTGTTAAGATGCATATTCTGATGCACCAGGTCTGGGGTGGGGTCTGCGCATTTCTAACAAGCTCTCAGGTGATGCTGCTGTTGCTGGCCCATGGATCTCACTTTAAGTATCAAGAATCTAGGAAACATTAGGAAACAGAATCTAGATTCTCTAGAACCCGAACTCAGACTCCAAGAGAGAATAACAGGTGTGGAAAAGAACATCCTTCACCTAAACAATACAAGAAAGAAAGCAATCAAAAAGCTTACAAAGTGTGGCTAACTTAGCCTTTAAACCAACCTAATGGTCTATGGGCCATAATCTTGGCAGGTGCCAATACCATCTAGCTTCTTAAGCAATTACATCCATTCATCAAAGCAGCACAAATTCCATTAAATGCTACTTTAGTATCCTTGGCAACGAAGCCACAAGCACTGTAGCTATCCTTCCCACACCTCAGCCCTACTGGAATGGTGCCATGGCAAGATCAGGCTCAGCACCATCCAGTAACAGAGTCCCCATGGGCATGAAGTGGGTGGAGGCTGGGAAAGGTGGGCAGAGGCCATGCAAAAGCCTGGGCAAAGAACCCTGAATATGGGATTGCTGCCCCCTTATACTGGAAAGTGCTTCTAACTTCCCAACATTTCTTATTACATCGTCAGCAGGGAAACAATACACCTGGAGTGAGGCAAACAGAGATGGAATGGCTGATTTAAACAGTGGCATGGTCAAATGGGCTCCCACAACAAAAGAGAAACTGTGGATGAGAGCTGTGTATATACTCATATACGGATATGTGTGGGTGTACTCACACATGTACACATATAGTGTAGAAAGATTAACAGGCCTCACCCTGCATCCTCAGCCTTACAATGTGCTTTTCAGCCACTTCCCCAACACCGGCTACTTTCCCACCCCCCAGGACCATGGTATGTGGGATGCTGCTGGCAGTCCACTTATCAAAAAGAGCACCCAAGGTTCTCACAGTTTATTTGGGTGCTGAATGTGCCAGTGCTGCAACGAGTGCTTTACACGCACTATCTTGTTTATGTATGCAACAACCCCAGAGTAGAGATCACTGTTGCCAGCTAACAGATGCATCCTATGATGAAACTTGTTACAGAGTATATGGCAGCCGAGGGCTCAGAATCTGGGCCTGTTGAATGTTCAAATGTCAGTGCTCTTCAACATTACACCAAACTTCCCCCATCCCAAGTCCCAACATGGGAGCCACAACTCCGCTGAAATCAAAGCCAGGGAGACTTACATTCCCTTCCTTTTCAAAGTCCGGTGGAAGTAACTTCACGAAGTTATCTGGGAACACGCCTCGTCTGCCGTTCAGCTCTCCTTCCCACCAGCCTACGTCGATGCAGTCCTAGAAAACAGGAGAACACAGAGTGAGAGATGGGGGAAAGCAGCCTCCAGAGGGGTCTAACACCCCTTTTCAAGAGAACAGAGGCCCTTTCCTGGAGGTCCGTGTTAATGAGACAATGGTTACCAAGTCAGCATAAACCCCAAAGTCAGAGGGGAAAACAAAAGCTTAAGTCCTCTTAGCATTGCCGGCCGGAACTCAAAACCCAGTGCTGCTTTTAGATGCACTGAATCAATAAGGTCTTCTTTTTTCTTTCTTTCTTTTTTTTTTGAGACAGGGTCTCACTCTGTCGCCCAGGCTGGAGTGCAGTGGTGCAGTCTCGGCTCCCTGCAACCTCCGCCTCCCAGGTTCAAGCGATTCCTCCATCTCAGCCTCTCAGCAGCTGGGATTACAGGCACGTGTCACAATGCCTGGCTAATTTTTGTATTTTTTGGCAGAGACAGGGTTTAAACATGTTGGCCAGGCTGGTCCTGAACTCCTGACCTCAGGTGATCCGCCCACCTCGGCCTCCCAAAGTGCTGAGATTATAGGCATGGGCCACTGCACCCAGCCTTTCTTTTTTAAGGATGGGAGAATACGTGTTTTCTTCATTTTAATTTTACTGAAATAAAAGTATTTTATTAACTGCAAATATGGCTTAGAAAATGTCACATGCACAAATGTCCTCTATGATTAGTCTGTCACAAAGCTTGTCAAAATTAAAAAAAGGCTTTGTGACAGCCAACCAGAAGAAAAATCATACTTTACACAAGCTCATTAATGCACTGCTCTCCTTCACCTTCTCCTTTGGATGTTGATGGCGCACAGTTGCCATCGTGAAAATCACTTCCTCCACCTCACAGGACACAATGTTGGCATCTGAAATGAATGCATAATGCTCTTCATTCTTCCAGAGTGAACTTGCTTCCCTTTGGATAATCTCTATTTTGTTCATTCATTCATCAAACAGTTATCAAGCATCTACTTTGTGCTGGACACTGAGCTAGGTGCTAGAGAAAGGACAATGAGCAAAAATGGCAAGAGCCTGGCCTTTTTCATGAGCCTAATGGCCTCGTGATTCTCCTGGGCACACAACCTCATGCCACAAAACCACTTCTAGTCTTTCCCATTTTCAACTAGTTGGAAGTCCCATTTGCTGGAGTTTTATCATATGTCTCACATTTGTACTCTGAGTCCATTTCTACTTCTACCACCGGATCCAGGACTTACCCAGCCTACTGTAAACCTCCTCACTTGGGCAATGCTTCCTGCCTAGTATATGTATAATATACACACCACTGTCAAATATGAAATTCCTTGAATAAAATCTCTATAATCAGTAAATCTCCATCCCACTTCAGGCATCCTGACCCTGCACCTGCTTTTTGTCCTATAGCAGACTTCCAAGTTGTGATCAACAACTTCCAGCTAAAGCCCAAAATGAGCAAAGGCTTTCCAAAATACAAACAAAAAACCCCGCTGGTAACACAGAAGGAAAGCAAGAAGGTGATAGAGAAAGGGAGGAGATCATGTTCAGGGCCCATGGAGAGCCCATGGTCTCCATGACACCAGTGGGATTAGAAAAGGGCTCAAGCACCAGATGTGCGGCTGGTTCAAGGCCTTGCTGCAGGGCCCTGGGAGAGCCATGGCTTGTATGGATCGTTGGTACCTTGTTAGATCATACATTCCAGCAAGGTGAGGGAACACATCTGATTTTTCACCATTATACCCCTAGCCATGTACACAATGCCTCATATAATAAGTATCTGTAGAATCAATGCAGACTCTTTCTAGCCCTGAGAGTTCTGCAATCTCCTGCAGTCCAATACTTGAATTACTGTAGAACAGGATGGCCTCTATCTGCCTAAACTCATAGGGATTCTCTATAAGTTAGCATAAGGCCCACCTCAGATGGGAAGTAACTCATCATCACCTTCCACTGTCCCAGTGGTATGTTATAAAGATAAGCTGACCCCTTAGAAGAGAGTGCAGATTTTGGAAATCAGTCCTTAGTTACAGACCATAAATTCTAGCCCCAAGCAACAACAAAAAAACAAAGACCCTTGAAGCATCAAGTTCAGATTTACCCAGAACAAAACAAGAGTCCAAAAGTCTTTCAACATGAAAAGATGCTTATCTTTCTGGAAAAATGACAGTGAGAAGTCTAAGTAGATAGTCTGGTCCTGCCCATGTCACATCACCCCCTGAAAACTAGCATCAGTCTCCAAAGAAGGGACTTGTGAACAGGAGTGGTGGCAGGATTTGGTGGCTCCTGAGGTTCTTCTGACCCTAGGATGTTACGAACATCATCAATGATACCAGAAAAACTTACGAAGGGAGCTGGGAGTAGAATTTCTTTGACCCTAATTCTTGGAATTAGGTTTCTTCAAAACTCAACTTGAAACTCACCTTTAAGAAACTGACTATGATGAATGCCTTTTCTTTTCTCTAATGCTCAGTACAGTGTTAATTTGCACTTAATGATACTCAACTCAACAAACATCTATTAAATGCAAAATATATTTAAGCTCTGTGAGCATCAAACCTTAAACACACAGATATAGAGAACATGATCTCTAACCCCAGGGAGCTTAGAGATGTATGGGAAAGACAGACATACAATATTATGCAAGGTCCTTTGGGTAACAGGTATCAAATAAGTGCTCTAGTACCAAAAGAGGAGAGAACCATTAACAGTTTTTGCAATAATCTGAAATCTTTTCATGTGCGAATGGTTTGCTTAGGTGAAGACTGGTCTTCCTTTCACATTCATTTCAGGTCATCTGATACAGAACTATGCCCACAAAAAGCATTCAAAAAAACTATCTTTTTTTTTTTTTTTTTTTTGTGGGGAGACAGAATTACACTCTCATTATCTAGGCTGCAATGCAGTGGCATGATCTCGGCTCACTGCTTGACTTCTTGGGGTTCAAGCGATCCTCCCACCTCAGCCTCCTGAGTAGCTGAGACTACAGGCACATGCCACCATGCCTGGCTAATTTTCCATATTTTTAGTAGAGATGGGGTTTCATCATGTTGCCCAGGCTGGTCTTGAACTCCTGGGCTCAAGGGATCCATCTGCCTCAGCCTCCCAAAGTGCTGATATTACAGATGTGAGCTACCACACCTGGCCTCAAACTTTCTAAACAGTGTAAATCCATGCTTCATCTTAGTCTTACGCAAATAATAACCCAAGAACCTTTTTTGCTTCACATGTGAGAAAACAATACAGAAAATGTTAATAAGCAAAAGCCCATCCAGAATAACTTTTTTGTTGTTGTTGCTGTTGGGTTTTTTTTGGTTTGTTTGTTTGTTTTGAGATGGAGTCTCACTCTGTCGCCCAGGCTGGAGCGCAGTGGCGTGATCTCGGCTCACCGCAACCTCCGCTTCCCTGGTTCAAGCAATTCTCCTGCCTCAGCCTCCCAAGTAGCTGGGATTACAGGCATATACTGCCACACCCACTAATTTTTATATTTTTAGTAGAGACAGGGTTTCACCATGTTGGCCAGGCTGGTCTCGAACTCCTGGCCTCAGGTGATTCGCCACCTCGGCCTCCCAAAGTGCTGGGATTATAGGCGTGAGCCACCGAGCCCCGCCCAGAATAAATTTAGAACCCATACACTTCTGCGGGAGAAAACGGTATATAATGACATTGTATGTCTCATATTTCCCCTTAGTGATGACTGGCTTGGATGACCCATCTACATTCCGCTTCTTAAGGAAAACACTAACAATGCTACTCATTGCATAATTCAAAGAAGAGAAGGAAAGCATGAAGGGAGAACACAATATGTCTAATTGTTCTGATTGGTACAAGAATAAACACAAAGCCCATGGATGAGATAAGCACAGTCAAAAGAGAAAACTGCCAGTGTAATTTAGTGCTACTAGCAGAAGCAAAAAAAACAAAAACAAAACAAAACAACAACAAACAACAAAAACAAACAAACAAACAAAAAACAAGAAAAAATGCCAAGAAAAGGAGTCTGCTATAGGACAGAAAGTAGGCACAGGGTCAGGATGCCTGGAGTGGGATAGAGATTTACAGAGAAGCAAGGCATTTTTTTTTCCCCCAGCAATACAAGCTAATTTAAGGGAAATAGGAATAATTTTGACAGCAAAATGAGAAGTGAAAATAAGTTCCTCTTCAACAAACCAGACAAAAGAACTAACCTTTTGATGGCAGAGATGGAGAGACTTGTATGAGGGCTATGTTTTCAGAAGTATAAAATAGCAGCAAATTCTATTTATTTGTTTGTTTGAGACAGAGTCTGCCTCTGTTGCCCAGACTGGAGTGCAATGACATGATCTCAGCTCACTGCAACCTCTGTCTCCCAGGTTCAAGCGATTCTCCTGCATCAGCCTCCCCAAGTAGCTGGGATTACAGCCGCCTGCCACCACGCCTGGCTAATTTTTTTGTATTTTTAGTAGAGACGAGGTTTCATCAACAGGGTTTCACCATGTTGGCCAGGCTGGTCTTGAACTCCAGAACTCAGGTGATCGCCCCACCTCCGCCTCCCGAAGTGCTGGAATTACAGGCGTGAGCCACAGCACCTGGCTTCAATTTATTTATTGAGAATCTAAAATGGCTGTCAAACCTGGCTGCACATTTAGAATCACCTGGGAATTTAAAAAAGTGCCAATGGCTGGGCTAGACTCCTAAAATGTGCAGGATAGGAGAGGAATCCAGGGGAGAAAAGAAAACCATCATGTCCTTGTGGGGCTCCCAAGCTCAGAGTCTAGTGGGAGAGGCAGACACAGTGAATCGGAATGGCACAGAAACACTGGCAGAAGTGCTAGGCTGAATTTACAAACAAGTGGGACCAAGACAAGCTGGGCAGCCAGGAAGCAGAGAACAAGGGCAAGAACTGAGGTAATGAGAAAGGTCAAGGGCAGACTTGCTGAGCGTAAAGGAAGAGAAGAGGGAGAGAGGCAAGTTGTGCTCACGGAAGAGAATATACAGGAATTAGAGCTTGGAACAAAGTCCGCCCCTCCAACATCTACTGAACAGTGATATGAGGCAT